TGAGCAGCCAAATTCCTCTACCAGACTCGCTCATCCCAACCAGCACAGCTCAACATCCCACCTTTTCATCTCAGAGAGTTAAAGGAACAGAGTCATCCCAGATAGACCAAACTCCTCAAGAACAAGGCAGTCACGGTCAAATCAACGCACCTAGCAAGCAAGATCTTGTCACACCAACCCCACTGCACATCAACAATTCAGACCAGCCTTACTGCACACCATTTGGGGGAACCAACAATTCCTTATGGTCCTGCCCTCATGAAAACACGGCAACGTGGGATTACCGAGGCAATAGCCGAAGGTATGGAAGCTGCAAGGTTGCCAACTCCCCACCTCACGATATTCAGTGGAAATCCTTTAGATTGGCCCACATGGAAAGTTTCTTTCGAAACTCTTATTGAGAAGAGGACCATGAATTCCAATGAAAAAAATCCTGTATCTTCTACAGTACTTGTCAGGGGCACCGAAGAAAATTGTTGAAGGATACCAGTTTCTCAAAACAGCTGACGTTTACTCAAAAGCAAAGAAAACCCTTGAAAAACGACTTGGTCACCCCTCTGTGGTTGCAGAAGCATTCCGCAAAAAGCTAGAGAGCTGGCCGAAGATACCTCCCAAAGACGGATTCGCATTAAGGGAATTTGCGGACTTCCTGAAGACTTGTGAACTGGCTATGCAATCAGTGGAAGATCTTGAAACACTGAATAAGCAACACGACAACAAGCAGTTGTTGAGAGTCTTGCCAAACTGGGCCCATCCCAAATGGGGAGTCAGAGTAAGAGGCTATCAAACGAAGCATGGAGATAACAAGTTCCCTCCATTCGTGGAATTTGTTAGATATGTCACTGAGATTTCTGAGGTGCAATGCCTGCCTGTTCTTACTAACTTGGACACAACCTTTTCAGCAAGAGAAGACAAGAACAGAGGCTTCAGGAAAAGAAATGGAAGTCGTAGGAACCAGGAAGCACATTCCCTAGCAACAGGAGTAAAGGAAAAACTTCCCAATCACACGGAATGTGGAAAGAATGGAAAGAAGAGAGCATGCCTCTGGTGTGGGAATACAACCCATGAAATGGAAACATGTCAAGAGTGTGTGAAGAAACCCATCAACGAGAGAGCCCAGTTTATTATCAGAAAGGGACTTTGTCTTCGTTGCTTAACCCATGGTCATATGGCTAAGGAGAAGAAGTGTGAGAAGGTACCAAGTTGCGCAAAATGCAAGCAGAAACACCCAACCTGTCTACATGATGACAGCAGGACCAGCACCAATGTTACAAATGGAGGAGATAAGATTACACCCGAAGCCTCAGCGAGCTGTACAAATGCTGTCGATGCAGAGAATCTGCAAGGTAGTGAAGACGCAGCAGTGAAATGTACAAGCGTTTGCTCCGTCGAAGGGCAGCAGTCGGGTCAAGATCAAAGCTTAATCATCCCATTGTGGGTGTCGAGTTCCAAAAATCCTCAAAATGATGTCCTGACTTATGCTCTCATCGATTCTCAATCCAATGCTACCTTCATCAGAGAGAAGCTAGAACAAACCTTGGAGGTTGACAGTGTAACAAGTCACCTTCGCTTGTCAACAATGCATCAA